TGGAACGTGGGAGAAAACCGGAGTCACCGAAGAACACCCACACAGGCACAGGGAGAACATGCAAAATCCACACAGGAAGGCCAGAGCCGGAATCGAATTCTGCTCGTCTGCACTGTGAGGCGAACATGCTAACCAGCCGCCTTCCGGAACATCATATAGTTTCTATTTATTGTGATATACAGGGTGTCCATAAAGTCTCTTTACCATTTCAAAAATTTATTAAAAATGCAATTGATTAGATATTTTATTCAGATTTGTTCTATTGTATTCAGCGTTCACTAAAGTTTTTTTTTTTTTTTTTACCTCTTTTAATACACTTCTAAATGGGCACCATTAGTTGCACGAAGCACATCAAGACGGTCCTCGATTTCTTGCCATGTTCGCTGTAACATAGCCTCATCAATTGTGGCAACGGCATCAGTAATCCTTTGCTTTCGGTCAGTAATGTCCCTTATCTTTGTTTGATACACGATATCTTTAACATAGCCCCATAGAAAGAAGTCCAGGGGAGTGATATCTGGTGAACGTGGCGGCCAAGGAATTGGCTCATCCCTTCCAATCCACCGGTCTGGAAATGTTTGATTGAGGAACCCACGAACATGCAGCCCCCAATGTGGTGGTGCACCATCTTGCTGAAAAATGATGGTTGGTTGAAGGTCATCCAGTTGCGGTGCCACATATTCAGTTAAAAGGTCAAGGGAAACTTCTTCTTCTTCTTCTCCTTTCGGCACATCCCTATTCAGGGGTCGCCACAGCGAGTCAGTAATTTCCATCCGCCCCTGTAAACCGTCCTACCAACTCGCATGGTCGTCTTGGCAAAAGTTTTACGCCGGATGCCATTCCTGACGCAACCCTCCCCATTTCTCCGGGCTTGGGACCGGCACTGGGGAACAGTGCACCCCCAGGGGAGGGCACTGCCCCCCAGCGGCTGGGTTAAAAGGTCAAGGGAAACATTTGCAGAAATTGATGTCTCGTTGAAGAAAAATGGACCAATCATGAACAAACAAACAAACAGGATCCCTGAAACACACAAATACAGTGTGATAAAAAAAAAACTACTGAATCCAATAGAACAAATCTGAATAAAATATCTAATCAATTGCATTTTTAATAAATTTTTGAAATGGTAAAGAGACTTTATGGACACCCTGTATATTTAAGTAGCCTAGTTCCATCATGTTATCACACTTTCGATGGTGGTCTGGCCAATTACCTGCACGTTCTTGGCTAATATTGCATCACCATTGCATGACAGAGATTAAAGTACGATTATTAAATGGAAAAAATGTTTTTCAGGAAGTGAGATGACACTTCCCAAGAGGAAAATAGCTGAAAATCGCGAAGTCTCCGCAACTTTTATTTGTGTTCTCCACCTCACAGGTGACAAGTCCAGGGTGTATCCCACCTCTTGGCCAAAGGTCAGCCGGGATATGTTCCAGTTAGCCATGCCACTCATGAGGACAAATGTTAGGCTACAAGAAATGAATGGATTGATTTCACCACTAGAAGTGCTTGATAAAACTGTCACATGAAGCTTTCTCTTCCCCTTTTTCGTTTCCTTCATCTGCACTGCAGACTTCTCATTAACAGTCTCTTCGTGGTAATTGATAGAATTTCTCACCTCTCAAATTCTGAGAAAGGTTTGAGGAACATGATACATGTTCATATTTTCAGTGTTTTCATTTTTTCATTCAGAAGGGCAACATTACGGTTTCATACATCAATCATGAGTTATTTTTTTAATTGACCCTTTTAGTGGGGCAATACTCTGAGCAATAACGGTAAGAAAAAACACAAGTTTTTAAGCACTCTAGAATGCGCTCATGAAGACAAGTTAGCATTTATTGAGCGTAAACCTGTAATATTATTGACTATTACTGTTATGCACGATTGACAAGTGATGATGACTTAATTGGATAAAAAGAGAAATGTAGAAAAGTTGCATTTTTATGATTTGAATAAAAACCTACATGCAAATACCATGTGAAACCATTTTACAATGCCACAAGCTAATGGAATAAACGAGAATTCAAAAAGAGAGAATTCTCAATTTAAATAAAGAAAAGCATTCATAATCAACAATTGTCACTATCGTATAAATTGAGGCCAGATCTACATTGCAATCTCTTAGGAATGAATGATTCAAATGTCCTTGACTTTTTCTCACGCATTCAGCCAAGCTCACACATCACAAGAGTTGGTTAACAACTTTGTTGCATCACACTGAAAACCGTTATCTGTTTCCGTGATGTTTTGCTAGTTTTTTTTTTCATTTAAAAAATGTTTCCGCCAAAATAGCAGAACCTCTATGAATCCCACATTGTAGAAATTTGAAAACATGTACGTATTTCCGACTTATGATTTGCACAGTAATCCAAATTCATATTATTTTATCAATTGAGCTTCTCCAAAGGAGTATGCAATAAACGTATTCAGAAAGAATTAATTTATTAAATTATCATTCGTTACAAATATCTATCCATCCATCCATCCATCCATTTTCTGACCCGCTTATCCTCACGGGTCACGGAGCCTGCTGGAGCCTCTCCCAGCAAGTGGGTTAAAACTTTATCGTGTTGTGAGCCAATCGTGGGGCACATATAGTCAAACAGCTGCTCGCCCTCACACTCACACCTAGGCACAATTTGGAGTGCCCAATCAACCTGCCATGTATGTTTTGGAATGTGGGAGGAAACTGGAGCACCCGAAGAAAACCCAAACAGGCACATCGAGAACATGCAAACTCCACACAGGAAGGCCGGAGCCAGAATCGAACCCTGCACCTCTGCACTGTGAGCTCGACGTGCTGACCAGTCAACCACCGGGCCGCCCGAGTTACAAATATTTTTACCCTTAGTTTTATATTATGATATACACCATAACCGTGAAGAGATGCCACTGAGAGCATAATATAAATTTTGGGCCATGATAATCACCCGATTCCCCCCTTATAGGTGTTTATGTGAAAAGTGAATGATTGAATGTAATGATTGAAGTTCACTGGTTAGAATCGAGACAATTTTTCTTCCGCATCATTTCCCTTCTCACTTGCAAGACAGAATCAAACTTCCCTAACTCTCACATGACGGTGTTTGATGAAAACATATTTTGCCTCATAACTTGGTTTCCACTTCAGTTTGCTAGTTCATATTTCTGAAAACACATCAGATAAATTAGCTACTGACTTCTTTTTATCCTACTCATACAATACCTCTCTCTCTCTCTCACTCTCACTCTCTCTCTCTCTCTCTCTCTTTCTCTCTCTCTCTCTCTCTTTATTTATTTATCAAGGCCAGCCCAGTGATCCAGTAGTTAGCACGTCGACCTCACAGTGCAGAGGTACCGGGTTCAATTCCAGCTCCGGCTTCTCTGTGTGGAGTTTGCATGTTCTCCCCGGGCCTGCGTGGGTTTTCTCCGGTTTCCTCCCACATTCCAAAAACATGCATGCTTGAACACTCCAGATTGTCCCTAGGTGTGAGTATGAGCGCGGATGGTTGTTAGTCTCTGTGTGCCCTGCGATTGGCTGGCAACCGGTTCAGGGTGTCCCCCGCCTACTGCCTGAAGACGGCTGGGATAGGCTCCAGCGACCCTTGTGAGGATAAGTGGATCGGAAAATGGATGGAGGATAGATATTTATCATCTATCCAGCCATATTCACTGCTTCTTCCAATTCTTCCAGAGGCCAGCCAGGTGACATCATCTCACCAGCGTGTCCTGGGTCATCCCCGAGTCCTCCTGCCGGTGGGACATACCTGGAACACCTAACCAGGGAGGCTTCCAGTAGACCTCCTAATCAGATGCCTGAGCCATCTCATCTGGCTCCTCTCAATGTGGAGGACCAGCTCTGTGTCCCTCCCAAATGACTGAGCTTCTCCCCTATTTCTAAGGGAACCCAGACAGCCTGCAGAGGAAACTCATTTTGCAGACTTGTGCCCGGGATCTTTTTCTTTCGGTCACAACCTGCAGCTCATGACCATAAGTGAGGCTTAAGAACGCAGAGTGACCAGTAAATCTGAAACTTGGCATTTTGACTCAGCATCTTCTTCTTCACCACACCAGATAGATACAGAGTCGACCTCATAGCAGACACTGCACCCTGCCTTTCCTCATGAACAAGACCACAAAATACTTGAACTCCTTCATTTGGGGCAGGATCTAATCCTCAAACCCTGAGAGGGCACCCCACCCTGTTTCGACTGAGGACCATGGTCTCAGATTTGGAGGTGCTGATTTTTATCCCAGCCGCTTCACACTCAGCTGCAAAACAACTCCAGTGAGTGTTGGAGATCACGGCTTGAAGAAGGTCACATTGCCTCATCATCTGCAAAAGCCCCCAAAACCGGACCCCTCAACGCCTTGGCTGTGCCTCGAAATTCTGTCCATAAAAATTACATGCAGAATCGGTGACAAAGGGCAGTCTTGGCGTAATCTAAACCTCACCAGATACAAATCGGACTTACCACATTGCTCCTCCTGAATCAGAGATTTGAGCTCCCAATCGATCCTCCTCTCCAGCACCCCTGAAGAGACCTTATCGGGGAGGCTGAGGAGTGTGTGATCCCTCTGTAATTGGAACACAGCCTCCGATCCCCCTTCATTATTGCTTCCATATTGCATTACTGTACATCAAACACACCCATCTCAGTCAAGGACATTTTACATATCCACCATGTCAAAGCATCTCTGCAACATCCATTATGTGGTTTCAGTCTTGTAAGAGTACTGGGCCCATCACTGTTTTCACGTGCTCTCCTCAAAGTGTTAATTCAAAAGTGAGAGATAATTAAGAACATTGTGGAATTCAAAACATGGAGAGAGGCTGACAGACACACAATGGCCATTTGGCCAGGTATCCTATCACCAAAATTGACTACGCTACGCTTCTCATCGCTGTTGATGTTTCTTTCTGGTTCCTTTTTTTTTTTTGTGACTATGATACAGGAAGCTTTGTTTTATTCTCTGTAAAGCTCTTTAGGAGAATTGTGTATGTTTCTCAGGAGCTAAAGCAGAAGGAAATGGGGAGTGCAATCTGCAGCTTCTTCCTTAAAAACAGTGGCAATATCAGCTGCATAAAAAGGAAAGTCAGAGCAGGTCACCCACAGCAGACTATCCGGAAGATCAGAGGCACAGCTGCCACTATGAAGACACTTGCCCCTCTCACACTCCTCACGCTGGTGTGTTTTGTGTCTGCAGGTCAGTTGCAATTTTTGTTCCATCTCAATTCATTTTGCGGTGACTGTGATTGTTTCAAAGTGCGCATATGGTTGCAGGCTTGGTAAGCCAGGAGTTCTTGTTGAAGGAAAGATGTTGTCTAAACAGCTCATCAATACGAATTCCTAAGGAAAAGGTGACACACGTGGAGATGACACCGGCTGGGTGCAAACACAATGCAATCGTGTAAGTATCAGACGTTTGGAAGTGGATTGTTCAACACTGGATCACTTGCACCTTTTCGATAGGAACATACAGTACATTCACGGCATTCAGTCAACAATAATATGCTAAGCCAATTCTACATCGATACTTTTTTTATATGATGCTTGTCTTTGGTGATGCTGTGATTTGACGGTTTAAAGCATTGACCTCGACAGAACAGCTTCACATCGTGATGCATTATTTTGGTACGCCAAGAGCTAGTTTATCAGGAAAACAGCATCTCCCTCAGTGTCACAGTTAACTGAGATCACCGACTTCAGTGGTGCTGTACAGAACAACAAAATACAGCATTTCCTGGGATGAAGACTTTAGGAGATGAGAGGTGGTGAGGGGAGCTGTCTAGAAAGCTTAAAAAATATGAATTTGAAACTTAAACGTAACTTTAAACTCACTTTTGTCCAAGGCAAAAAATTCTGTTTCTGTATTGAGACAAAAAGAGGATCCTCCAAATCTTTGGTAGCGCAACCATAAATTAAAAACATTTACAAGTAAAAGTGCAGTGATTTGTGATTTCTGTGTCAGGACTCTCTGTGATGGCTTTATTAATTCTCGGATGCGTTTTCAACTTCTTTGGATGTGTGCAGTCTTGAACTGTATATTAACCCTTTCCTGCACCCTGTAACCTGATAACATGATAAGCTGCCCACTGTAGTAACCGCTGTCCCTGAGAGGGTTAAAAATACAGACAATAACTACCTTCATGTTACAACACAGGCATGCATTAATATTCGTATATGCACATAAAATGTGTTTCATTCATAATTATTCTTTGTTGTTTAACAATGCACACTGAAAAAAAATGGTGTGATGAATTTACTCAATTTTTATTTTGTCAAGTGGTTGCACAAAATAAATGGAGCTGGTTCCAGGTGCGTTTTTCAAGTGGATGTACTTCCAAATATATCTGGATCCAGATGATTTTATTTTATGCCACCAATTGATGCAATAAAATTCAGTGAATTCAACCACTTTTTTCAGTGCATCTTCAAGGCCCTATTCGTTGTCGTGACGTCAGTGGATCAAAATGAATTTTACATAAACCTGCAGAGTTCAGCAGGCCGCTGGCATCAAATCATGATCATATTTGTTGTTTCAGAGTCACATCGGTGTGCGGGAAACGTTTTTGCCTCAAAGACAGTTGGAACTGGGCAATAAAACTGTTGCAAAGATTTGAGACAGTTTCTGTCAACAAGACATCTCTACCTGCACCTTTCAATCAGACCAGGTGTAAAAACAACCGGTATGTTGAAATGGTATGAGGAGAAAGTTCCTGTATGTAAAATCACTTGCCTCTCAAGCTTTAGGATGATTCTTTCCTGAGTTATTACGATTATTATTTGTGATTTTTTTTCTCAATGTAATTCCTTACGGCGTGTTATGTCTTTTTGTGTTTTGAACTTTAAAGTCCCCATGTTGTACATGCTATGTATGTATTTTGTATGTCATTATTAATTTGTAATTACTGCTTTAATTATGATAAGTGCCTGGACACCCACATTTCAAAATCTTGCTTGTTACATATAGTTTCAAACAGAAATGCAAACCAACGGTAATGTTCAAAAATGGAAAATCCAGATCTGACTTTGCCACAGAACAGGGTCAAAAACGTCTTTCGTGTTCTGGAATCTGATTCTGTCCAAATAAATCACAATAAAGAGAAAAGAAAAAGTTCGTGATCTAAATCATACTACATCAACTATCAAAAACGTCGGACACTGTCTCATGGTATCGAAATGCATACCTGAAAGAGAGGAATTAATTGTTTGCAATGTGATCTGCTTATTTCAGAAAGCAGAAGCCACAGTTGGGTCACAGGGTCCGGCGCCCGCGCACCAAGACAATAGTGCCCCCCACTTGAGGAAAGAATAAACTTTTTTTTAAATGTAATTTTCATTTTTATTTCATCATTGCAGCTATATTTTTGTGTTGTGAAATATGAATGGTGAATTGTTGATAACTAAGGCATTAAAAATATAAAGAAGTGCTTGTGTGATTTTGTTCGATTGATGGCCTTATGTCAATAGATGTCATGGTTGATCTGTTTGGGACCAACAGGTGACTCTG